CCGGGAACCGTTAATTTAATCATACTTGGGTGGATTTACCAGCCCAGCCTACCGCTGGTATGGAATCCACCAATAATGATAAAGTAAGCAGACTGCCCAACAGGATTTCCTAAGCAATCAAATCGGTCCGATCCCTCCTAATAATAAAGGTGCCTGGAAGATGATTGCTTAGGAAATCCTACCTGGACAATCAGCTTCCTGTACCCATATTGGTGGAGTCCATACGTGCAGTAGGCTGGACGGGTAAATCAGCCCAAATGTAATTAACCTCATGGCTCCCAGTGAACCTCGTGGCTCAGATGGCAAAGTATTACTTAAACTAAACCCTCGTTGACGCTACTGTGGTGACTCACCCCACATAGGGAAGCATGCGCATGCACTGAAGGCGGCCTCTTGAATAGCCAATCACAGATGCCCCAAAGCTGGTCTCGCCTGGTGGCGAATAAGACGCATGCATGCCTAGGTCGATACAGTCTGTCCGGCCAGTAATCTTCAAGGCCGACCAGAGAATGACCGTTTTCGCTGCCGCTGACATGCCTGCTACTAACCCCCTACTTGGGACCCGGCTAGTCTCCCGACTGGTCGTGCGCTCCGAAGTCAAACTTCTTTCTGCATATTCTCTGTTCCTCTGTATACAGAAAAAATTATTCCTACTATTCTGGCCTTCATCGACTTCTTCTCTCCTAAGGAAGCGTGGTCTGAAGATCGCAGTCGCTAGGGTTTAACTTACTTAGCCCCTTGCGATACGGGTTCGAATTCCAACGAGGCTATGAGTTTTCACAATTGGGTTAAGTGTTTCAATTCTCGAATACTTTCGAAGCTTTTTTTTACCAGTGCCACATCAACGAGCACGAGTACGCACCTTATCTGCGGCACAGATGAGTATAAACAATTTTGCTTAGTAGTGTTGTCGTTCACCACACTTGGTATACATATGCTAGTGTACTTCAGGGCGCGCGCGTAATTAACCTGCATCAGATCTCACTAGACGGATCGCAGCAAGCCTTTTGGAGCAGAATACTGACCCTGACGTTACCCACAAGAGGGCAGCAGTTGTACAAGGAGCAAACTATTGAAGCCTTTATGCTAATTTCAGTGACGAAATGCGCCACCCCGCTTCGATCAAAGCGAGATGGAGGCTTCGGTTTCTAAACTGTCCTGTCTTGGTGTATGTAAATGCACAAAGACACTCTTCCTTCCGATGAAGACGTTTCAGACGATAGGAATCTGGGCAAGTAAACGACTGCTAGGCGAATTGTTTGAGTTCCAGACGGCGGGCCGCAAACTTGAACAATTAATGGCAGATCATCCGTATTTTACCGCAATTAGCGACAAAATGCAATCACTCTTGCACTTGTCATCCTCAAAAGCACGTGAATCCTCAATATTGTAAGGGGCAATATTTTCCTAGGCTCGTCGTGGGTGTACATTTACATTACCACCTGGAACGGACCGCATTTTGAGACCAACCATTAAAATGCTCGAAAAATGCCTTCCATTGTGGGATTTTGTACCACAATCAAGACTTGAATGCTGCTAAATAAACAGAGAAAATTCTCGGGAGTCAAGGCTATAAACAAAAGACCGTGATACGCACGAGGTCGAAAAGTAAGCAACCCTCATCCTTCTTTCAACCACCGTTGTCCGATAGCCACTAAACATTGAAATCCTGCCCAACGAGGTATCCTCTGTCTGGTAAATTGGTATTACTCTGGCATTTAATCTCTAATTTACTCTTCATATAGAAGGCGTTTTTATTAAAATCCGAAAAATTTATATTATATCCACCGCTTGCGTTCATATCACAAGCCTTAATCTGGCGATTTATAAATGCCTGCATTCTCCCCCTCACTCTTTACTGGGCTCCAGTTATTTTTCCAGCTTTACTTCAAAAAAACTGGTCAGTATCAAACGTATCCTCTGAATGCTCTCCTTAGCTGCTGGTGTTTCCTTTGTTTTTTTAGCTGCCCTTATAAAACAGCGACACTTTAAAACAGTCAAGCAATTTGCTGATCGTATCCTTAGTGAGTTCGTTCACCCTCTCCAGTCTGAACTTATGGCTGCGAAGTCCTCCCTTACCATACGCCGAAACTTCCGTTATATGTCTTGCTATACATCGGCATGTCAGCACTCTGCACCCCCATTCCAAACACGCTACCTCACGTGTGAAGAAACGGAAATTGAGAAGTTGAAAGCCGACCTGTCTTCATAACAGATGTGGATATCGTGCAACCCTTAACTTCGAACATCCTGTTATCTTTGACCTTTTACCATAACCCTTTAACCTACATCATCTCTGTTCTCCGTGAGTGGAGCCATTTTTTGCCGCAATTCTTGGATATTGCCTTGAAAATATAGCTTCCTCTCTCTACACAAACTGTGGTAAGCACATGGACTGTCTCGAACTGTCAAAATATCAGCCCGTCTGTCTATCTATACAGCGACAAATTGGAAACCCTATGCTTAGTGTTTCTCGGGGCAAACCTTGTCTTTCATACGAGTCAAAATACGGAACTACAATTTGAAGAAACGCGTAGCCTGACTTGTGCAAAAAAACACCCTCACCAACACCAAATGTGCCCTACGACGCTTTAAACTTGCTCGATGTAAAGTTGTGAAGATGACTCAACAAGGTCACTTCTTAACCAGTTCTTAATGACCAGACTAACAAACGAGTGGGGAAAGGCAAACCGCCCGTCCATCAGCTTCCTTAACAAGCAGCCCTACTACAGCCCTGTGCGGGCCAAACAGACGTTCTTTTAGGAATCCAGACTACTGCCTTGATAGTGGCCTACCAACTCACTTGCCCCATGTTTGCTGGTACCGGATCAC